ACACACACACACACACACACGCACGCGCACACACACCACACACACACACACACACACACACACACACACACACACACACACACAACTCACGCATGCTCTTTGCATTACAGGCTGTGTGTGCAAGTGTAATAGTGGATGTAATGAATGTGTGTCGGAGCATGTTTGACTGAGGTTTGGGGGGGGGGGTCTTATTTTGTTTTTCAGAATGAGGGAAAAACACTGCATTTCAGTTGTCAGTTTTCTTTTGGAGTTTATTTCCTAAGTCTGTTTTTTTTTGGGGGGGGGGGGGGGGGGTTTTGGGTTAATTATTTTAGTTGTCTTTTTTTTGTATGAGGGGAGAGAAGAACTCCTGTGTGTGTGTGTGTGTGTGTGTGTGTGTGCGTACGAGATGGACGTGTGTCGCAAAAAGCCTGCTCACTTTCTTCCTTCTCCTCTCCCTGCTCTTCTTCTTTTTTTTCTGCCTCCATCTTCGCTCTGTCTGCCAGTGTCGGCCTCAGCCGCTTTTTGACTGAAAACCCAACCAGGAATGAGGGACAGTTTCTACCGTTACAATGTTGCTATTGTTGTTGTTAAATGGAGATTATCATAATTATCATTTTTTGTAATGACTTTTAAAAACAAAGATTAAAAGGCAGTTGTAAAACTTGTGGCTAAAACTTCAGTGTTTGTAGTTAAAACAAGTTGTGTCGTTCTTCTGAAGGTTTGTTTTTCTTCATCTATTTGTCTCTCCGTCCTCTTGTTTGTGTGGTCTTTTCTTTTTGTCTGTGAGGAGGGAGGGAGGTCAAGCCAATCATCTCTCCCTTTCTCTTCATGTGGAGTCTCAGTAATGTTGCTGCTCTCCCTCAACTCCTTGACTTTTTTTTCTGTTTTAATTTGTCATTAAATAAATCTATCTTTTTCATACCTGGTGTCTTTTCTTCTCTTTTTGCAGGTCTCACGTCCTGATTATGGCTGTTTTTTTGTTTTGTTTTTATCTTATACTGATGAGTGACAGTTTTTGTCTGTACACTTAGGTCACCTGGTTTTTGCCCACTAGCATTGTGGGTTTTTTTTTTTTTTTTTATGAGTGCATCCCCAGTTTGTTTGGATCCTGCATGTGCACAAACACAATATTATGAGACCATTTCCTATCACTCCCTCCAAGACTTTGAGTCTTACGTTCATTATACAAAATATCCATGACAAAACAATCTCACCTAAAGGTCTATTTGTAACGTTTCTGGGTTTTGATCATATCACGTGAGCTTCCTCAGCACATAAGGTTGGCACAGTTGTCATGGAATTGTAGATGTTTTTAAATGTAAAACAAATTGTCTTTCTCATCCATCTTGGCTGAAAGTTGAGGTGAATCTAAATTTCCGTGACAGCGGGGCAAACTAAAACTGCTGCCTAAGGCCATGTGATATGAAGACCCAGAACAAATACTACATGAACCTCGAGGTAAGGTTTTAGCTGTTTTAAAGTCAAGAAGGAAGTTTGAAGTGCAGTGAAATGCCCTTATTTAAATTACTGGAACTGCAAAGATTTCTTTTGAAATACTTGCTAGAATCTTGGTAGGAGAACATAAATACACAAAATTGTGCCAGGACAAAAAGCGGTCAACTTAGAAGAAAATACGTTTTGCCTGTCAAAGATCTTGCAGGTAAAAATTTTGTGTCAATAAAACTTTGGATTACAAATTTCAGTCAGTTTGCAGACAGCCTCCTTGTTTTATTTGTCGAAGGCCAGGGTTGTCTACAGAACAGAGTTGCTAAGGATAAAAAGCATTGAACTCACTGTAAAAGGAACAAGATTTAGCAATAGCATAAGGTCTGAGCCTGCAAGTGAATATTTTGGCATTTTGTCAAGTCCAGGATCAACGTGGTTAAGTTCACGTTGCCTCTGCACAGGGGGTGTGATTGTGCTGGGTAGCCCCCAAGCAAATCTATGTATCTAAATATGTTGGCACTACTAACTCATTTTCTTACCAAGGTCAAACAAACCACCCCCCACAAGATGTTTAAACTAAGTTAATGCAATTTGATGTTAAAGTGATACTTCTGCTGCATGAACACGCAAAGTTTAGTCTTAATCGTTACATAGGGAGCCTATTACGGTCACAGTTACTGAAATATGTGCGTGCTGGCCAGAGCTCTTAAGCTTGCACGGTAAAATGCATCCCTGTGATACTGTCCTCAATGCATCAAGTTTATCATTGTTAAGTAGGTCTTTGGATGTAGGGCAGCCTGTGAGGTCAGATAGGTAGATCAGACAGGAAGCGTGGAGCACAGGAATAGTTTAGTGCAGCTGCAGAAGCACAAGGTGTTTTGCTCAAACTCTGAGGAAAATGTGCATGCAGAGATGTCAATGTTAGTGCCTCTGACCAGCCTTGTGTCTGTCAATGGTTACGCAGTGATCTTGTCCCACAGTCTGGAGGTCAGGGACTGTATGAAAATTGTTTGTGGGGGTGGGGTGGATCATAAAAGGGACGGGGTGTGGTTTTTCTTTTTGCTGAAGGTATTTTTTGGAGATTTGCTGCCAGTACACTAAGCACACCCCAAGGGCCTCTGGGTAATTATGTTATAGGTTAAGGTCCTCCATTCACCAGAGGGGGAATGTTGAATCCAGAGGGCTTACAGAGGGGGTCCTAATACTGTGATTTAACTGAAACTGGGTGTGGCTGCAGTGAACTCATTGTGACACACATACAGTGTACATACGTGTACATAACCAGAAAGTAATACTCCAGCTTAAGTGGTCTTGTGTTTTTTTTTTTTGCAGGGACCAAAAAGGAGGGAAGTGATGATTTAAAGCCCAGACATGCAGGCAATATATGTTTTGGTAAAGTAAAGAGAGAGCACCCAGCACTTGAGACTTTTTCAGAGGTGTGCAGTGCAGATTCACCATCTGCAGAGAATCTTTGGTTCTTTCCTTTCAGATTAAATAGCTGCACCTTGAGGCAGAAATCATCATTACACCCACAGAAAAACAAAAAATCAAAGGATACTTTACACACCAGGCCTGTTAGATTATAACTTGTAAGCAAAGTTGCCATTTTGGGCAGATGGTAGTACAAGAGAAAGGCACCTGGAGTGTTTCACTGGTTTCATGGAAAAGATATTTCCTGTGTACAAGGCATTTATTCACTCCATTTCCTTTATGCATTTCATTGTGGGACAAACTGGTGTTTGTCAACAGCGCAATCCAATTAACCTTATTCTTTCCTGGGACACTTTAATTTGACACTAAAATCTTTAATGTGGGCGGTGGCGCATTATTTGGCCAGCAGCTGTAGAGATTATTTTTCTTACTATGTGTTGGACTGGTGCAAAGATGGATGAGTGGGCTAACTGTCAGAGATTAATGAACCCTTATCTGACTCAGCAAAACAGAAAGGTGTTTTTTTTTATCGCAAAGTGTTTGTGATACCAAACAAAACCCCTCAAAAAACAATTATATTGTTAAGTGCTCCTGTTATTATGTCCACCCCTGCACATGGATCATTAGGTCCTCTTCAGCAAGCAAAGCGCAGGCTGTGACTAATGAAGCTCACAGGGCCTGATTTAATAGCACACACCAAAAGTAGTGGATAAATTCAGTACAGTGGAGTGCATGTATGGGTATTGGAGTCAGCATGCAAGGATCAAAGGGCACAAAAAGAGAGAAAACATTTCTGAAGGTGTCTTTGTTTACTGGTGGCGTATGCCTTATTAGGTGTTACCTTAAGTCAGATGAATGTACAACTGTACAGTGTTGCAAAGGTTTTTCAGCTGCACCAAAATAAAATCTGAAACAGATCTGCTCCTGGGCCAGTCCAACAGGTCCATCACTCAAAAGTCCCACATTATCCCACAGTCTGCTCAGGCTCTGCCATCATACAGCCCAAGGTGTAAAGGCTGCAGTGTGTTCACAAAAAGCTGAAGAGTTTCTTCACTGCCTCCCATCAAAAATCTTCATGTCATCACTAAACAAGAGAGCGGTCAAGTAAAAATGGCTGACTACCCATCCTCCTGGAAGATGATAAACCTGGCACTGCTTTAACAAAGAATCAAATTAACCAGTGCACTACACTGTAAGGGGTCAGTTGTCATGATGAATGCACAGACTGGCTCCCAGTTTTACCATTTTGGTTCACTCCCACTTGCTTCAAAAACTCGCTGTGTGCCATCCATCCGGACAAAATTAGCAACTAGCTGGCGAACATAGCAGAGCATTTAGCAGCTAAAGCCAGATTTTTCTGGCTTTAGGAAAAAGAGCACACCATTTCTTTCTTTTTTCTTTATCATTTGAAGAGTAATAACATTAATCTTTCACATTGAAGTTCTCATTAATAAAAGAATCACTGCTGCTGTTTGCATATTTCATTGCAAGAAAGCATGTTTCTATAATGCATGCAAGTGCTGTATGCCAATTGTTTTAATAGCATAATTCTTTTGATGTGGTTGGATTTCATGAACGAGTCTGTGCAAAATGTTCTGCTTTGGTCCATTCATCTTTTCATGGCTGTCTAAATATGGACAAAACACACCGCACTCTGGTGTTCCACATTACATCTCTACAGGGGAGGCGAAAAAATCACATCTGCTACAGAGTGAATTTTCAGCCAATACAACACAGGATGATACAATTTTATCCCTGTGTGAGTCTAATACAGCCACTCACTGCAGGACTCTTCCATCTGAAGGAATAAAAAAAACACTTCTAAAGATTTCAAATAGCTTTAATTCAAGTGCATCATGGTTAAGTATGAACCTCATCGTTGTGTGGTATTTAAGTCACTAGAGGTACAGTTTTCTACACTCCCCATCTTTTATATTAAAAGGAATTTGAACCCATTCTTTGTCAACACCTTAGAGGTACAGCATTGTTGTTACAGATCACTAGCAAGACACAGATTTGATTCTGACCACTGTGAAATCTGAAATTAGTACAGTCAGTGTGCTCAGCAGGGTGTACTGTATGAGTACAGTGCTGGGAGATAGATATCCCAAAGCCCTGACACAAAATAAAGTCAACAAACATTTGTTTAAAAAATTACTTGTTTAATGCAATTCAATATGATGGAGCCCTGAAATCAGACAAGTCACAGCTATAACTAAATACATAACTGAATAATATTGTCAGTTAAATTATTAAAACAAAGAGTCAAACGAGATTTAAAGGTTGATACTTAATTATTTGACCCTTCCATCTAGCACATAGCTAGCCTAACTGAAAACACTTGGATAAACTCACAGAGCACATGCCTTTTCAGCTGGCTACATAGTTCAGGCTAACATTTGTTATAATGTTAAAGGTAAAATGTTTAATCATCCATATACAGTAGTGCATTCTAAAGCCTTTCAGCCGGCAAGCTAATGCTAATGAAGTTATCTTGCTAATGCTACTCAGAAGTTCACAGACATGATGCTTCTGCTTCCATAACATTATCTTCATTATGAACTAGCAATATTATCAATGCATACAGTTATGTTTATGATTAGTATGACAACCTTTTACTACATTTTGTCACTTTCTACATACAATGTCTGCTTGGCCCACAGAATGCACGCATTACATGGGAATGATTCATTCTGCCAGAAAAATGGCATTTTGGATTAAGGTTCAGTCATTAAAAGAATTATTTGGCCTGGAGAAATTGTTTCCACGCCTCATGCAGACAGGGACCTCAGAGTGGGATCTGAAACACACTGTATGAGCAAAGTAACTGCAGTCTTTTGTTGTTCATTGTTATAACGTTTGCATAGCTAATACATTACACACACAAAATCTGCATTTACAAGAACTGGTAAAACATCCACCAAATAGTTAAAACCAGGCTACACTGGATTACAACGCATGTTTAAACAGTCATTCAAACAGTCTGCAGGTATCTACACCATCTGAACACATCTCATCTACTTCTGTTGTCACATACACAAACCATCTCAGCAGACTGCTTACTGTTCAGCACAAACACTATCAATCAAGCTAAATTAATAAGTGCAACACCAAATGACCCTAGAAAGTTTAACTTCACATTGTTGTACTGTAAGCTGAATTCTCCTACAGGGTTTGACTCTGAATTGTAGCTTCATTTACCTCAGATTATCTGGTCAGGATTAAAGATGTGCACACTCAATGCCTATCAGGGAACAACTCATTAGAGTGCAAGATGTCAAAGCTGAAACACGACGTGCTCTCTTATTCAGGACTATTCTTCACTTCACACCGTCAGCGCATTTGTGTGTGTGTGTGTGTGTTTGCATCAGTGTGTTACAGTTTGCTGGTCAGCTGAGTGTGTGTGCACGTGCTGGCTGTCCCTGGGAACCCTCCATCAAAGGCGGCGTTCAGCACCTCGTCCAGGTTTCCGGCGCTGACAAAGTCGAGGTCAGCTCGGACGTTTGCCGGAAGCTCCTCGAGGTCCTTCTCGTTGCGTTTAGGGAGGATGACTCGCTTCACTCCTGCCCTGTGGGCCGCCAGGACCTTGTCCTTGATCCCGCCCACCTGAGGTGGACAGACCAATCCAGTCTGTTAAAACCGAGGAGAGATTTGCATTTTGTTACGTGTTAAATGTGATAACTCACCGGCAGCACCAGCCCTCTAAGCGTGATCTCTCCTGTCATGGCAACGTCTGATCTGACCAATCTGTCGCTGAACAGCGAGGCTAGGCAGGTTACTATAGTAACACCTGCAGAGGGGCCATCCTTGGTTACAGCTCCAGCCGGGAAGTGGAGGTGGATGTCTGTCCCTTCAAGCGGATCTGGAGCCCCCACCACTGTTCAAACAAATGCAAATGCATGTAAATTAGCCTATGTCACAATTGCCTTATTTCTGTAAAGACAGTATATATACACTACATAATACTATATTTATTTGTGTGAACTCACTGTTTGTGAGCTGGTAAGTTTTAGCGTTTGTTCTGAGCCAGCTGATGGCCAGATGGGCGGATTCTTTCATAACATCTCCCAGCTGACCAGTCAGAGTGAGCTGACCTTCTCCCTCCATTCGACTGGCCTCCACAAACATGATCTCCCCACCAAGGGGCGTCCAGGCCAGGCCCAGAGCCACACCGGGCAGGGTGAGCCGCTCAGAAACCTTCCACCACACACACACACAAAACACCCATAAAGCTGTATTTAGGTGTAATAATCAGAAGATAATAAAAGTTTGTAATCTTCAAAAATTCAGTGAATGTGAAACATAAGGCCAACATGACTCGATAGTGAAGGAGGGAGAGAGAGGACAAAGAAGACGCCTGCTAGAAGACAAACTCTACATTGTTTTTCACATTATACTGTATAATGAGGTCTGAAGTGGCTGACTTTGTATTCATGAGCTGTGAGAGTGGTCCAGAAAGTTCAGACAGCCACAGGTTTCTGTAATTGAGCATGATGAACACTGCTTATTCTCTGCAGATGCTGGTCTGTCTGTCTCGCGCTGCACTTCCGCTCTCTGCTGGTGTCCTGCCTACCTCCATTTCAAACAGCGGAGGTCCCAGGATGTCTTTCAGGGCAATCTGGTCGATCACTATGGGCATCTCAGGAGGTGCTGCCTTGTCTGAACACACATAAAATTAAGTGAATCCAGTGGAGAGGTTCAGTTAGGTGTACTGATTTCTTTTACATTTCGTGTATGAGAATCAGACAGGTAAATACCAGATGAAAGGAAAAATGTTTCTCATGTACGCCCATGTTTGTGGAATCAGGTGACCGCAGTGTGAAGAATAAGTGCACATAAAGGCACTGCATTGTATAGAGAAACAAAACTATGGAAGAAAGGCCTGCAACTTGGGAGGGGTGTAAATGTAAATGTAAATGCTCCGTATTTGTATAGCGCCTTTCTAGTCTTTTCGACCACTCAAAGCGCTTTTACACTACATCATGGCGATGGAGCAGTGGATAAGAAACATGCCTTTGTTGTGGGAGACATGGGTTCAATTCCAACTGCGAACCATCCACCATTGTGGACTTAACCCGTAGTTGCTCCAGAGGCCTCTGATATATATTAACTGTAAGTCGCTTTGGATAAAAGCGTCAGCTAAATGAATAATTATTATAAATTCAGTTGTTACACATGCGAAGAAATAAAGCCAAACACAAAGATATACTACAAACAGTGAACAGAGACATTAAACACACACCATCCCCCTGGAAAAATGCAAAACACGGAACACACATCATTTGCACGCACCCCCCCAGTGTTTGTGCTGCGTTAGTTACCTGGCAACACAGAGGGTTTTTCTGCAAAGCAGCACAAAACAACCGCTGATATCCTGTTTATCCCCATTCTCATCCCATTTCTCTTTTCTTAAGTCTAAACTGATTTGAATTTTTGTCTACATGTCTACTAAGTTACAGTGCTTTATAGTATTACTTTAGCCTGGTAGAATTTTGTAGTATAGCCAGTGGTGTCCAAATAATGTTTTTCAGTAATCTGCTGTTTCACCAGAATCACTCAGAGACACATTTTAATCTACTGGGAGTCCTGCAGAGAAATTAAAACAGAGTCTGACTTTCTAATGACATAACCCCATTTGTAAGAGATGATGTACAATGAGCTAGTCTCCACAAAACATGCTGACTGAAGACCTGACAGGGTTTATTTTGTAATAAAGACCAGCTGGCTGCACATTATCCAGCTCATTACACAGCTACTGAGAGACATCATGTTCTACTTACAAGGATACATCAGACATCTAGCAGCTGAGAATTAAATATTGTGTTTAAATTTTATTACTGTTGCTCACAAAAAGACACAGACTATATGTATTATATATGTTGCATTATGTATATATTCAAAGCTGATGAATACATTGTAGGTTTGTTACTTCTATTTAACAGCCTTTATACTGCACCTTTTTTATACTCTGGTCAGTTTTGCAGATTCGTTTTCAAATGGACTTGCGCCACCTTGTGCTGAACAGCGGTTTCTTTATGTGTGGAACACCCCCCCCCCCCCCCCCAACCACGTTTTAACTTTCTAATTAGAGCTCTTCTCGACACAGACTGACAGAAAACTCAGACTGTGCTTGACTGACATCACAACTTACAGCATTATCATTCACATTAACTTTTATCATGGCAAAGATTTTGACTTATCCTAGCAGGAAAAGCACAGGTGCAACTACATTAACGCTGTCCCAGTGAACCATGAGGAACAATACCGGGACCCTGAAACTGGAGCACCTAAATGGAACAGACCGATCATTTATTATTAATGACATGAGAAAGGCCTCTTGGTACATGGAGATAAGTGACATCATTTAATTCCCATACACTTCCATCCCTCCAACCTGAGCACTAAGAAAGAAAGTGTGCTCCTCTCCCTTTTCACCAGGCCCTGTTTCTCAACATTGCTAGTGCTTTTGTTTTGTGTGTTAAATCACTAATTTATGGTGTTTCAGTTAATCTATTAATGTATCAGGTCACACAATGCTTTTTAGTCTATCTACTAAGAGCACTGTTTTTAGGGCATAACTTGATTCCAAATAACATTTTTTATTCACTCATAATGTATGTACTTTATGTAATTTATGTATACACACGGAAGTAGATGTGTATATGTGTTATTGTGAGTGGGAGTGCAGGTCTGTGCTGAAATACAACTACGGATTTGACCTTCTGCCTCCCACAAGTCCAGTCTGACCACAGAGACACAGCTCTCTTGTCAGAAAACAGACAAGAGAGCTCAGGCTCTTACCTCCCTGCTGTGTCGGGCCCTCGGGGGTCAAAGCCTCTGTATTGGTGACTATGTGACCTTCAGCGACCTTCACAGCCACGGCTCGGCATATCGCCCCGATCTTCCTCTCTAGAGAGCGCACGCCTGCCTCACGGGTGTACCTAAAAGAAAATACAACAGGTGAATAAAGTGACGTGGAGAGTTGCTAGGTGTGTATTAATGATCAGTGTGTGGGTCAGCGGTGTGATCAGGAACACAAAACACAGTCAATTTTAATGTTACTGGTGGTCAGGAACAACATTTGCGACTGTAGTGCCCTGCATGGGAATTAAAAATCCTGAGAACTTGCATTAGTCCTGCATCATGAATGACCAAATCAACAAAGGAAAATTCAAATTAGACAGAGATTAAATATTAACTGCATTTATATGCTAAAATACCTGACAAGACTCACATCTCATACTGTGAGCGAGGCCCAGTCTGACACTTTTGTCAACCTGCCTGGCTTTTCTGTTCTGACTTTTGTTTCTTTTTTAAAAAGAGATCTAGTAAACTCAAGAGTATCCCTCGAAAGCATGAGCTCCAAGCTGTGCGCTGTTGGCTGTTTCTATAGTAACCAGACTGGAGTGCAGCAAGTGTTGTACAGAGGCTCTGCAGGTCTGCAGACAGCACACTGCAACTTAAAAACCAGAAGCCTCTATATCATCAGAAGCTCCGTGTTGGCCTACCTACCAATTTTACAAATCACACACAACAGATTAGTCAATTGATGGATAATTGAAATGCTTCTAGCTTCTCCAATGTAAGGATCTGCAGCTTTTTAAATAAAAACTTTGATACTATAACTGGAACGTATTTGGAATATTAATGGAACAAAACAAGCTATTTAAAGATGTCACATTGGCTTAAAAAAATGTGACCAGCATTTTTTCCATCATTTTCTGACATTTTATAATTAAGCAATCAATTAGAAGCTAAATCGACAGAATAACCGATATTTAAAACAATCATCAGTTGCAGCTGTAACTCACACTGACCTGTTTCATAACATTAAACAGCAAACAATTGTGGGAGATCCTAAGCAAGACTCAAACCTGCACCTGAGCAGATTCCATGGTGCAGGAAAGATTTACCACGATGGAGGACAACACTGATCTGAAATTAAACAGACCAGCACACTCTGCAGCTACAGGCGACTGCAAAGATGTTCTCTCTAAATGAAAAGGTCGCCCTGCCAGAGAAGTACCGATCAGCGTACAAAACAAACAGCCACTAAACCACTTGACAACTTAATGATATGCTCTGTTGACCAGAAGTAGAATTCAAAGTTAGCCTCAGATATGAGCTGCTGGCTGGCTGACGGCGCTGCTTCACACACACACCACACACTGGATCTGTCCTTCCCAGACTAAATGTAGAAGCTGTTCAGCAGTGAGCATGCAACATTAAATCTGGGCAATTTAGTCTAATTTTATTCAGTTCTTCCTCCTGTCGTTGCGTCAGTAGCATACTGTGTTTACAGTCTAAAAATCTACCTGCACATTGCTATCTTGTTCCCAGTTCTTTTATTCTACACAGACATCCTCAGGTAAAGGTGAGGATGTCAACACAATCGTATTTATAGATGAGGCTTAACATTTAAGATTTGATGGGTTAAGAGTGCTCTATTACTTTTAAAATGTATTTACTTTTTGTTATGAGGAATCTGTTCTTGTTAGTTTTTTTTAGCATTTTAGCTGTTGTTAGCTCACAAGCATTAATCTACAAATATGGCACAGAATTATATATATATATATATATACATATATATACAGTGGGTACGGAAAGTATTCAGACCCCTTTAAATTTTTCACTCTTTGTTTCATTGCAGCCATTTTCCAAAAATCTAAAAAGTTCATTTTATTTCTCAGTAATGTACACTCAGCACCCCATCTTGACAGAAAAAAACAGAAAAACTGAAATATCACATGGTCATAAGTATTCAGACCCTTTGCCGTGACACTCATATTTAACTCAGGTGCTGTCTATTTCTTCTGATCATCCTTGAGATGGTTCTACACCTTCATTTGAGTCCAGCTGTGTTTGATTATACTGATTGGACTTGATTAGGAAAGCCACACACCTGTCTATATAAGACCTTACAGCTCACAGTGCATGTCAGAGCAAATGAGAATCATGAGGTCAAAGGAACTGCCTGAAGAGCTCAGAGACAGAATTGTGGCAAGGCACAGATCTGGCCAAGGTTACAAAAAAATTTCTGCTGCACTTAAGGTTCCTAAGAGCACAGTGGCCTCCATAATCTCAAATGGAAGACGTTTGGGACGACCAGAACCCTTCCTAGAGCTGGCCGTCCGGCCAAACTGAGCTATCGGGGGAGAAGAGCCTTGGTGAGAGAGGTAAAGAAGAACCCAAAGGTCACTGTGGCTGAGCTCCAGAGATGCAGTCGGGAGATGGGAGAAAGTTGTAGTAAGTCAACCATCACTGCAGCAATCCACCAGTCGGGGCTTTATGGCAGAGTGGCCCGACGGAAGCCTCTCCTCAGTGCAAGACACATGAAAGCCCGCATGGAGTTTGCTAAAAAACACCTGAAGGACTCCAAGATGGTGATAAATAAGATCCTCTGGTCTGATGAGACCAAGATAGAACTTTTTGGCCTTAATTCTAAGCGGTATGTGTGGAGAAAACCAGGCACTGCTCATCACCTGTCCAATACAGTCTCAACAGTGAAGCATGGTGGTGGCAGCATCATGCTGTGGGGGTGTTTTTCAGCTGCAGGGACAGGACGACTGGTTGCAATCGAGGGAAAGATGAATGCGGCCAAGTACAGGGATATCCTGGACGAAAACCTTTTCCAGAGTGCTCTGGACCTCAGACTGGGCCGAAGGTTTACCTTCCAACAAGACAATGACCCTAAGCACACCGCTAAAATAACGAAGGAGTGGCTTCACAACAACTCCGTGGCTGTTCTTGAATGGCCCAGCCAGAGCCCTGACTTAAACCCAATTGAGCATCTCTGGAGAGACCTGAAAATGGCTGTCCACCAACGTTTACCATCCAACCTGACAGAACTGGAGAGGATCTGCAAGGAGGAATGGCAGAGGATACCCAAATCCAGATGTGAAAAACTTGTTGCATCTTTCCCAAAACGACTCATGGCTGTATTAGATCAAAAGGGTGCTTCTACTAAATACTGAGCAAAGGGTCTGAATACTTATGACCATGTGATATTTCAGTTTTTCTTTTTTATAAATTTGCAAAAATTTCTACATTTCTGTTTTTTTTTCTGTCAAGATGGGGTGCTGAGTGTACATTACTGAGAAATAAAATGAACTTTTTTGATTTTTGGAAAATGGCTGCAATGAAACAAAGAGTGAAAAATTTAAAGGGGTCTGAATACTTTCCGTACCCACTGTATGTGTGTGTATATAACTAAGAACATATATTAATATATATCATATATAATGTATATATAGAAATATTTATTATTATGAACTGTATTTATCCTGTATTTTTGATGCAGTGTTGATGTGATTGTTCCTGTGCTCAGGAGGAAGGGGAATGGAGGTATACAGGGAATAACAGGAGCTCACTTTAATGGTCGATGTTTGGATATGTCATAACAGGAAAAGGTTTGATTAATAATGTAAATGGTCAGTTCCATTTAGGTACTCCAGTTTCAGGGTCCTGGTATTGTTCATAGTGGCTCACTGTCACCTGATGTACATGGTTAGTGTGAGACATACGCGGGCACATTGTCCTCAAATATATCATCAATTACCCAATTGACAGCTGACTGATGATTTCATCACTGCTCATCTATAAATACAGGTCTGTTCACACACTCGCCTTTACCTTAGGAAGAGCATTCATGGTCGATACATTGTAATGTCCTTGTAGAATAAAAGAAGAACTGGGAAAACGATAACATTTTGTCATTTTTCTGAACCCCATTTCAGCTCAACTGCTGGACAGAATGTGGCGCTGTCTGCAAGGAGAGCCACATTTCTTCACTGATTCATCCAGAAAATGAAATTAGTTAGGACAAGAGGTGCACATACAATGTGGCTGTGTACCTCCATAATTAAGTTAAGCTTAACTTTAGTTAGGTTCATTTTCTCATTTTGGTTTTTTTATGCACTGCATGTGTTTGTGTGTACCTGCTGATTATATCTTGTGTGGTGTCCTGTGGTATATGAAGCTGTTGAGGCGTTAATCCATGTTGCTCCAGCTGATTTGGGATCAAGTGACGGTGAGCTATCTCTACCCTCTCCTCCTGGGTGTAGCCTGAAACACACACACACACACACACACACACACTCGTGTTTCCATCACATTGGGGACATTACACTGACTTGCATAACACTAGCCATAACCACTACTTGCCTAATCCTAACCCCTAACCTTAAACTAAACCTAACCTAAACCTCTCTCTCGCTCTCTCTCTCTCTCTCTGATAACTCGTACTTAGTCATACTAATGAATTAAAAGAACCCCTCCCCCAATTTATCATTGTACTCCTGTAACATTGTCAGACTCATTGACAATTTAATCTAAATCAATGCAGCGAAGACTTTTTATTCCACACATTCTTCCTACTTGTCAAAACCTGGCCCCTACATTACCCACAATTTGGGCGACTAAAGTAGCTGCCAGGGGCCACAAAAGGCTTTTTACAGCTTTTTGACATATGTAGTACTACTCCCCAAAACCTGTAAACAGACTTTGGTGTGTATATATATATATATATATAATTTGGTTGAGTTCTCCTTTAATAATTAATTATCTTTCAAAATCACTACTTTCTACTCTCAAATTACAAACCCATGCCCTAAAATTACTTCATTAATTCACTCAAACTAATAGTATAGCGGCAGAAACTGAAGTTGCAGAATACTGTAGCTGGTCAGGTCAGTTTTGAAAAAGCACTCTGACGTTTAGCAGCTAACAAATACCAACGCAGTGTATTTCCAAATAGAAATGTCCTTAACTTTTAAATAGAAGATCTTTCCTTGATTGTAGGTAATAATCATCATCTACAGTTCATTTGTGACTGTCCCCTCAACACTCTTGTGTGAATTTAATGCAGATCTATTTGGATCTTGGATTGAGATACACAGATATACTTTGGGTTATGACTGTTAAACACAACACTGTGTTATCTATGACGTCCCTTAAACATGATTTAGAGAACATAGGATTGTGTTGCCATCAAACTGTGGTGTATAGCACCAGTTCATGGCTACAGACAAATCCACAGTGAGTGCAAAGAACATGGACTATACTGTATCATGAGTGTAAGTAACATAACTACTTAGTTATCTGAAGGCATTAATTAGTAATATTAATATATTATCTTTATAATTTAATAGTAATACATCTAATCATTGGTAACATGGCAGCAGTGATTGTGGTGTTCCTGTGTGTGCACGTTTATATGTATCCAATAGTTAGTGGATATGCAGCTGGACATTGTTTCATCAGTTCCCTGACTATACTGTAGTATATAGAGATGCCCTATGCTTGGGATTAGTTATGTCACTTGAGCAAGAGTTTCTCCTCAAGATCAACTGCGGAGGTGGTTCCTCTCTGCACCTAAACCCACCTGGTACCTGCAGCACCTCCATCCTGTCCAGCAGGGCAGGGGGAATGGTCGCTGTGGTGTTCGCAGTGGCAATAAAGAGCACTTGGGAGAGGTCAAAGGCCACGTTGAGGTAATGATCTGTAAAGCTGTGGTTCTGCTCTGGGTCCAAGACCTAAGGGGACATGTAGAGACAGTTTGAGAGTATGTGTGTGTGTGTAAAAAGGCTAGTTGAGTTTGTCATGAATTGGTTTACAGAACAAACAGAGGAACACAAACATTTATTGGTGAAGAAATGGAATACTACCTCACAAGTAATGAGCGAGATAAACGAGATAAAGGAGCTGACCTCTAGCAGTGCAGCTGCAGGGTCTCCTTGGAGGCTCTTCCCAAGTTTGTCCACCTCATCCAACAGGAAGACAGGATTATTGACTCCTACTGTCTTCAAACCGTTGATGATGCGGCCGGGCATGCTCCCCACATATGTGCGTCTGGAGAAATGGTAAGGACTTAAATACTGACCTACAGTGTAAACGTTTCCGATCAATCTGAAGGCACACAGAACTTTATTCCTGATGTCAACGGAAATGTGCAGAAATATATAGTAAAGGTGAACATCATGTCTGTCATAATAGATACGTCATTTTTGTCATGTCATATGTTATTATGTGTAAATAAGTCGATCAAGCGTTATTCCAGAAGTATGCATTGCATTACCAAACTAAATTAAAATGGTTGACACAATGTTTTCTATACCAAATACCTAATGCAAGCAAGTTTCAAGTGTTTGCAAGCTGAAAGAAATGTGAAGTTCTGGGGTTCAAAGAAAGGAATGAAAGAAACACATAAAAGGGAAAAAAGAAAATTTAAAACAGCAAAACTGT